TAGAAACTAAAAATAAAAAATAATAACAATGTATAACAATTTAGAAAGAATTCTAGTACTTTCAGCACACCTACAAATTTGAGAAATCTTTTTAACTAAGACATATCTATCTCACACATACACATAAAATTTCAAAGTATTTTTGCAGTGCAAGAAATACAAAGTCACTAGACAAACAGATTAGGAAAAGTATTTTAAATTCAAACGATAGCAAAAATTACTATCTATACTATACAAAAATCTCACTCACAATTTATAAGATGAAGACAATCAACTCAATAGCAAAATGAGTTGGATATATGAATAGGCAATCGACAGAAGAGTAAGTATGATAATATGTTCACCCTTCCCCCAATAGACAGGGAAATGGAAATTAAAATTGCCATGATGATACCCATCAGAGTGACAAAAAATAAGTGTAATAGCACCTATTATTAGCAGAGATGGGAGGCAGGGTAAGGGCACTCTCATACATCACTGGTGGAAATGTGAAAAGGCAATTCATGAACTCTATTAAAAATTTAAATGCATATACAATTCAACCCAGCAATCCCACTCCTGGGATTCTATACTATAGAAATAAAGGCTCTAGTACATAAGTATATATATTCAAGAATGATTATTACAACATTATTTTAATAAAAAGTAAAAAAGCTGACAGCAAATCAAGAGTCCATTAATAAAAGAACAGCTGAGTGAATTATGATAATCCTTACAGTAGAATATTATTCAAGAATTAAAAATTAATGATCTATACTACTTGACCTGGAGGAATTTCCATTATATATTGTTAAGATACAGAGAATTATATATCATCAATCTCTTTTAAAATGCCCTCTTAAACCTTGTGTATTATGTGTATATGTGTGTGTGGGTATGTATGTATGTATGTATGTATGTATGTAAAATTATACCTATGTGTATGTAATGCATAAAGAGTTACATGAAAGGATGGTCACTGAAATGTTAATAGCTGTTTTCTCAGAAAGGTGGATTTCAGGTGGCTTCTAATTTTTTCCTCAATATATTGTTTGATTTTTCTTTGGCAATGAATATTTTCAATTTATATCAGGAGGAAAAAGGCAATAGACTTTTCTTCATTGTGGGAAGGAGAAATTGGTCAAATGCTTAAAGCTGATGCCTAAGTAGGGATATCCCATATATTATTCATAAACAGTAAAAACCTATAAAAATATAAATCTCCAAAATTAGGATTTGGCTAAATAAATTATGATCCATCTATGAAAATACTTCAATATATTGACATATAAAATATTCATGTTTTAGTGTTAATAGAAGTCAAAATTATTTTAAAGCATCTGTAGTATACCATTTGGGAGAAAGATACATTTAATGTGTGTATATCTACTTACATGTACATAATTATATACTTAAACACATATAAATTACATATAAATACTAAAACATATTAACAGGGCTTATCTCTTGATGCCAGGTTTTTATTTTGTTACTAGAGGCCCAGTGCACAGAATTTGTGCACTGGGCGGGGGAGCAGGTCCCTCAGCCCAGCCTGCACCCTCTCCAATCTGGGACCCCTCGGGGGATGTCCACAGGAATCAGACCTAAACTGGCAGTCAGACATCCCTCTCGCAATTCGGGCAGGAATCAGGCCTAAACTGGCGGTCTGACATCCCTCTCGCAATTCGGGACTGCTGGCTCCTAGCTGCTCGCCTGCCTGCCTGATTGCCCCTAACCACTTCTGCCTGCCAGCCTGATCGCCCCCAACTGCCCTCCACTGCCAGCCCAATTGCCCCCTTGTGATGACATGGGGAGGCCATCTTGTGATGATGTGAGGGTGTGACGGTCACCTAGGCTTTTATTAGTATAGATTTCTATTTTCTAATTTGTTTGTACTATATTACATATGCCTTATCTCAACAAAGAAAGTGCTGAACTTTCCATTATTCTTTCCAAGTTTAAGCTGGTTATTCTTCAGTCCTGAGGAGGAAGGGGAATTTTACCACAGAATGGAACATTATTGGGAGGTCTTTCTGGCACTCATTTTTAGAAGTTTTGGTTGTCCTGAACTTTGCACCAATTAGATGAGATACAATGTGTTTCTTATCTTCATTTTCCCCTTATTAAACTTTTGAACTGAAACCCACAGAGAGAAATATATTTTATAGCAGAACCCATTACACACATCTAATTCATTCTTAACTAAACCCCAAATTTCATAAAACAATGTTCATTGTTATTACATATGATACCCTCTGATATGTGCCTTGTGTTCACCTCCCTTCACTTCTCCAGCATTTTTAAAGATGCTTGTTGTGACCAACCAGATCAATCCCATGACTTACCAAATTGCGATCTGCAGACTGAAAACAGTCAGAAGGACAGCCACTGTTTTGTGCAGCTCCTTCAATGGCGGTGCCCACCTGCAGCACAAGCACAGATCCAGGCCCACCTCCTCAAGCAAACCCACCGCCTCACCTCCCCTTGACTTTGTCCGTTCTCCCTCACCTCCAATGATCACTCCCTCTCAGCTCATTCTCCCATTTAACTTTTATCTGATCTCTCAGTTTTAAATATATTTTTATTGATTTCAGAGAGGAAAGGAGAAGAAGAGAGAGAGAGATGATGAGACAGAATCATTGATTGGCTCCCTCCTGCACGACTCTTACTGGGGATCGAGCTGGCAGCCTAGGCATGTGCCCTGACCAGGAATCAAACCATGATCTTCTGGTTCATAGGTCAATGCTCAACCACTGAGCCACACCAGCTGGGCTGATCTCTCAGTTTTAGAGAGACAGAACAAAAATGTATTTCCCAAATATGGCATACACATTTACCCTGGGCCACGATGATTTTAGGGCAGTGGTTCTCAACCTTCCTAATGCCGCAACCCTTCAATACAGTTCCTCATGTTGTGGTGACCCCCAACCATAAAGTTATTTTCGTTACTACTTCATAACTGTAATTTTGCTACTGTTATGAATCGTAATGTAAATATCTGATATGCAGGATGTATTTTCATTGTTACAAATTGAACATAATTAAAGCATAGTGATTAATCACAAAAACAATATGTAATTATATATGTGTTTTCCGATGGTCTTAGACGACCCCTGTGAAAGGGTCGTTCGACCCCCAAAGGGGTCTCGACCCACAGGTTGAGAACCGCTGTTTTAGGGACATGCTGATGAACATAGTCTTCTTTTACTAATTATATCCTTTTTCCTAACAAGTGATGTTGGTTTTTTCTTATAATAGTTAAAGCTAATAATAGTTAAGTTTTATTGAACACTAACCACATATCAGGTTCTATTTTAAGAGATTTAAATGTATGTAAGTCCCCATTACAATCCTATGAAGCAGTTACTGCTATTATTATCACCATTTGACAGATGAACAAATGGACACACTGAGAGATTAAGAACTTGCGCAAGGGCACACAGCTAGTTAGTGGAGGACCAGGAGATCTCGCTCCTGTAAAAAAAAGTCAACTCTGGAAACAGCCTGAATTCAAATTCTAATTCTAACACGTTCTAGCTGTGTGGTCGTAGGTGAGCTATTTAACCTAGCAGGGCCTTGGTTTCCTCATTGAATCTAACACATCACCAATTTACTAAGAAAGCATCGAAAGTTGAAATTGAGCCATTACTTATATGCTTCCCTATTAATAGATAAAGCATCCTGATAACAGAGAAGGTTAAAATATAAAAGAAAAAAAATGAACATCTTAGAATCACTGAAATATACTAACACTTCCTGCCTTGTAGGGTTGCCAAGAAGAGTAAATGGATCAAGTGTTTCTTCTGGTGCCTGGCCCACAGGCAGTCCTGAATAAATGTTAGCGATTCCAGCTGCTCAAGTGATTGCGCCTGCTCACTGGATGAAGGAACTGAGACGCAGAGAGATTAAATTACTGTCCTCAGGTTGCCAGGTAGGGTTTGGTGGCACCCAGATCTAGCTGAGGTCTTGAACTCTTCTGCTGGCTCAGGCTGCCTCTCCCTGGGTTGGGTGAGGCCTGGCATCTGTGGGAAAGACAGATCATTGCACTTCCACTTTGCTTCAGGTGCTTTCATGGAGAAATGTGGATTAGCTAGGGCCCATTTGCTCCAGGGTCTCCCAGCGGGTTTTCCCTTTCCTGTTTCAAGAGTCCTGAGGGTCTTACCAATGTACCACGCCCCTCACATTCTTGGGGATTGGGGTGTCTAGACTTTCTGACTCAACACAATGACCAATGCATAAGTGCTCATTCTACTTAATGGCTTTACTTCCACTTTCACAGACACTTGGATGTGGTCAGACAGTGTCCAAACCCTACAGTCTCTCACAGAGCTGAGGTGAGTTAAGCGGGTAGTGTTCTTCCATAATTTCTCATTTGAGCACTTAGCAGTGAAGTATGTCCCTCCCCTATTGCTCACAGAATAGATGTTTGAAAAAAAAAAGTCATTTGACTGTGAAGAAGGAAAAAGAAGCACTAAAATGTGGATTTCCACTCCCAGCCCCATATAGAGCTACTGTTAATGCTCTTTCACATGGACATTTCTCTATCACACACACACACACACACACACACACACACACACGTATGCACACTCTCCATTTCCACCACTCACATAATTAGTTTATTCACACAGTTTCTCCAATTTGTATTTCAATTATTTTTGCTCCATAGCCACAGTTTTAAACATACACCAGAAATGGCATTTATGTCACTCTTGAAATAGGTTCTTCGGCAGGCAGTACAGAAAGGGCTAATTAGGTAATAGGTAGTTAGAAGACAGAGGCACCGACTCCTGCTTAATTCCGGGGTCCTTGACAAGCTGCCTTCAGAGGAACGTGGCCCTCTGAGAAGGTGGGCGCTGGGTGTGGTTAGCACACACCCCTCACCTGCTGACAAAGCTGCCTTGTAGCCAGAGCGCTGGGGCTCGGGTGCCCACGCTCAAGGCAGATATTCTGACAGTGAACAAAGGTTAAACCTGGCACCTTTAATTGCAGCTTTTCTAGACGATGGTTTTCTCTTTTACCTGTTGGGAGTGATTATGTGCTCAGAGAAAAGCTTCCTGTGGCGAGCTTTCCTCCTAGTCGTCCTCTTTTGTCCTCAGTGAGAGCACCAAAGTGAGCCAGGGTGAGCCTGTCACACATCAGCATTCTCCTGCCTCATCATCATGACAGCACATCTCAGGGCACCTTGAGAGCTGAGAACAGCCATCCAGAGGGGGAGGGGTGAGCTTTCTCTCTCTCTCTCTCTCTCTCTGGTTGAGAGCCTCCTTGGGAGTTCTGAATTGTAGTGCTTAAACCAGCCGTGGGCAAACTACGGCCCACGGGCCGGATCCAGCCCGTTTGAAATGAATAAAACTAAAAAAAAAAAGACTGTACCCTTTTATGTAATGATGTTTACTTTGAATTTATATTAGTTCACACAAACACTCCACTCTCTCTCTCTCTCTCTCTCTCTCTCTCTCTCTCTCTCATTGAGAATCTCCTTGGGAGTTCTGAATTGTAGTGCTTAAACCATGACCCTTGCTGAGCACCCTCCCTTCTTTCTCTCTCAGGCTGACCCCTCCCTCGCTGGCCCTGCTGCTGTCAGCTGCTCTTTGTTGACAGATGCTCATAGGTCCACAGGGAGCCAAGGAAGGGCACACTCTCTCCTTCAAACCACAAGACAGGCCCTCCATCCCTTAGGTCTAGACTCTTCTTGGAGTTGCATCTGAAGGCCTAGATTTGCCCGTGCTGGTTCCTGCCCGGCCACCAACTGACTTCTCTGTGGCCAGGGCGAGCTTGCTCCCCAACACCAGGGATCACGAAGCTTGGCCATCTCTTGGAGGAGAAGTCCCACGCCCTTCCCCAAGCCCAGAAAGAGAGCGTCATTTTCTTTATGCAGCTGTTTTATAAATCCAAATTCAAAAGTGTCCCCCCAAAAAGGCAGTTAGACCCAAAGGTCAACTTTTAGTTTCAACCCACAAAAGTCACTATTTTAATGTTTTATTTTCCAACTTCAAAATTCTAAAGATCTAATCTACCCCAGGAAACTCCATTTCATGTATATTTTACAATGATTGAATAAAAGTTTGCTAAAATATATTTTTACCTAATATATTATTTGTATATTTTCTCATTATCTAAAATTTTTCTACTCTGTGATTTTCATGAACTATTTAATGTTCCATTGCACGTTATAACAGCCAGAATTAGCTGGGTTAAGCTGCAGTAGCAAACACTCCCAAAATCTCAGTGACTTTAAACAACAATTTCTTATTTCTCACTCTATGTGTCTATTGTGGGTCAGCTAGGGCTCCAGTAGGGCTCTTTTTCATATTATTTTCACTCTAGGATCCAGGCAGAAGGAAAAGTAACCATAGAAAATAAAACACTGCCCAATGTGATTCCTAGTCAGGGCACATGCCTAGGTTGTGGGCTCGATACCAGGTTTGATCCCGGGGGGGCATGCAGGAGGCAGCCCATCTATGTTTCTTTTTTCCTCTCCCTTCCTCTCTCTAAAAATCAATTTTAAAAAACATCATATTAAGAATTTTTTTTAAAAAGAAAAGAAAATGACACACTGATCCTTAAAGTTTCTGCCTGGAAGCGACATGTTTTGCTTTTACATTTCCTTGGCTAAAGCCAGTCACATGGCCTCAGCATAAAGCGGGCAAAGAAATGTAATCCTACCATGTGTCCAGAAGGAGATCTGGAAACATTTTGTGGGTAGTACTAATTACTACCATATATGGATATAATGTAATAAACCAATACCCTATTTTTAGATATATGTTCTTTTCCAAATTTTGCATATGTTGAATAACCTTTTAGATGCATATTTCTTTAAGACATTCAAGGATTTCCAAAGATTTTCAGGTGGAAATGTTAATGAATCCAGTCATTTTGACTGACTTGGTGCAAACCTTGTACACCAAGCCCAAAACAGTAATATGAGCTTAGAGCTGGACCTCCAGCATTACTCCAGGTAACAACAGTTCAAAGTAAAGTAGGTAAAAGAGTCATTCAAATCTACCTCTTAGATCACCTAAGAATCATTCCTCTATTGTCTGTTTTTTAATTAATAATTACTCTTCTACACCTTAGTTTCGGAAAACTCCCAATGTTATCAGGTCCCACTAAAACTTCATCAGTTTGCAAATTACCCATCAAGCTCTTGCCCTCCTGCATCTGTGCAGTGCTTTGGAGGCCTATGTGAGCACATGTTGCTTCAGGTGCTGTTTTTCAATCTTTTCCGGGTGATCCCACAGGGTGCATATTACCTCTAGCTGTGGATAAGTCCATCTACAATCTAATCATACCCTCCACACACTTATATAACAGCTAATGGGCTAATGGAGCTAATAGATAACATTAGCTTGAGTGGCTGGCTACTGTCCAAGATAAATCAAGATACCCATGGAGATAATAACACAAAATCATATTCAAGAACAACTGTTGCCCAAAACCAGTTGTGAAATTGGTATCTATGGAAATATTGGCTGGATAGACTCAGTCAGTGGCTAGTCTGGCTAAGTTGTCTCATCACAACTGCAAGATGAGAGGCAAAATGGCACTACTTTCCATGTGAAACGTGCAGGTCACATTCAAGCTATTGCTGTCCTCATTGAAACATCCATCACACCATTCTATGTATATGTTACAAACATACATTTAATTATTACTTTTGTTATATATTTTATAATTTAAGACCACTTTACCCAATTTTGTTCCCTGGTACTTATGCATTTTGTGTGAGGGAGTAGGGGAGAGAAAAAGTATTCATTTTTAAATACATTTCAGAAATACTAGATAAAACAAAGATAAACAAGCTTCTTTATTGCAAGACTTGTCAGTGCCTTTAATATGCTATTATAATTGTAAAACTTCAGGGGGTACCTAGTGTTTATTGATATAAATGACCATAGTATATTTTAAAATAAAGAAACAAAGTATAATTAATATAGAAGCAAATGTTTTGCCTATTTCCTGTCCTACATTCTTGATGAAACCTTCCTACAAAGTTTATTTAATATCTCTCTCTTTGATATCCTCTCATGGTCTTTCCTATACAAACCCAACTACTCAAAGGGTGGAAGACTCAGAGTTTCTGGAATAGGTGATTGTCATCAGACAGGGCTGGGGCTTTCTTAAAAGAAATTTTAAATGTTGAAAAAAATGGGAGAGGAAGAAAAGTGAAGGGTACGGGATGTACAGGATAGTTTAAAGGGGGAGTTGAGCACAAGAAATAGGGGAAGAGAGTTCTTGGGAACCTTTGAGATGTGAGACAATTTTAGAAGGAGAAAAATGAGGAAAAGAAAAATTTAAGAAATGATGTTGTGAGTTATGAATTGGATCTCTTTTACTAGTCTTTGAGAAATGCAAGAAAGGGAAAGACAGTGATCATGCCTAGTTATTGGACTGTGTTTCTTTCAATGCTCATCATGTTGAGACTCGCCACCTGAGGCCCGGGACTTATTCAGGTTACAACAGAACATTTCCACACCAGCATTCCATAAATATCTTTAGAGAATTGTTGACAACACTGCTCTTCAATTTATACAACCAGGAACAGAGATGAGGAATTAAACAAAATATTTATTGCTTTTGGCCCAATGGTTTTCTAAGGTTTACAGAACAAAGATTAGAAACAATGGCATTTAAAAAAATGCAAGTATTGAAACAAAACTAAGAATAAATTGTTGAGATCAATGTCACATTTTAGAAATTTAAATCATAAAACATCAGAGCAAATATTTTCACAATTGTGTTGCTTTGATTGAAACATAAATTTGTCGGTTCACATAGAACCATTAACTCCACTTTGTATTTATATGTATATTAGTTATGTTAACAGATCATACCATTTCATCAGATTGTCAGGACTAAATGAACTAATATATGTGAAAAACTTAGAGCTCCATACATTTAGTTATCATTTTTATAACCAAACTTCATCACTTTAAAACATACTTTCTGCCCTGGCCAAGTGGCTCAGTTGGTTGGAGAGCATTGTCCCATATACCATCTGATCAGGGCTCATACGGGAGGCAACTGGTCAATGTTTCTCTCTCTCTCTTTCTCTCTCTCTCTCCCCCAAAAAACTACTGGACTTAATAAATAAATTGGCAAAATAGCAGGATACAAATTTAATATCAGAAAATTAATGGCATTTTTATACACCAATAATAAACTCTCAGAAAGAGAAACTAAAAAAAATCCCATTTACCACTGCAACAAAAAAGAATAAGATACCTAGCAATAAACTTAGTCAAGGAGGTAAAAGATCTGTACTCGGAAAATTATAGGACACTGAAAAAGTAATAGAGAAAGATACAAACAAGTGGAAGCATATACCATGTTCATGGATTGGAAAATTTAACATCATTAAAATGTCCATACTACACAAAGAAATCCATAGATTATACAATTCCTATTAAAATACCATTGGCATATTTCATAGATCTAGAACAAATATTCCAAAAATTTATATAGAACCATAAAAGACCCCGAATAGCTACAACAATCTTGAAGAAGAACAAAGATTGAGGGATCACAATACCAGATATCAAACTATACTACAAAGCCATTGTAATCAAAACAGCCTG